AAAACAAATATAATGTTCCAGAAAACATTCAGATAGCTGCTGTTCATATGTATTTACATAATACAGCAGTCTTGCTGCGAATCTACTCCAGGTGGAAATGGAAGGGTAGGATTGCCCTCGGAATCGAACTGAAAGAGTGAGCACTGTTCGCCGACGAGATCGTCGGGCGCTTGACCATAATTTTGCATTTCCGTCATGAGTTTCAACACGCACTCGAATCGACGTTGCTTAACGTCCTCCGCGTCGTCTTCCTTCTCCTTTTCCAACTCCGTGCACACCTTGCACAAAATATATACATTATAATCGTAAGCTTCGGCTTGAGTTCGGTTCGTTACGCATGTACCTTTCGCATCAACTCCGACTGTCTTGTATACCTCTGCAAGTCAGAAGGGTTCAGAGTTGCCTTGTGCTCCTCCAACCATGCCGGATATTTATCCGACAGCTCTTTCAAAGACGGATAGAGAATCTCTTTTGACAAGAGGTGCTCCATCATTCCTTGCATAAACGGTAATATGTCACCAGTGTCGCCGTCGAGAGATGTTTGCCCGAGCATAGCCGCCACGTCTGCTTCACTCTAAAATGTATTTTATCTACTTCGATCAGAATTCGATTTTATTAGGGAAATGCATGGAAAATGACATTACTATATTATTACTTCTGCAGTCTCTAAGGTATGTTAAATAGTGCATAAAGTGAACTCAGGGTAGACAAATGTTACTGCTACAAACTATTGTCAATTTTGAACTCGTTTTAAAGCACCATTGATACACAAGATGCACTATATGTATTTACAAAGATTGGATATCATTAAAAAAACGTTCCTTAGTATGAGATAAGTTTCTAGTATGAGACAGTGGGTTTTCAATATCCAATTTCGCACGATCTCGCAATGAATTGTCCACTAAACAGATTTCACTCCAAGGGCAATACATTCATGGTGGAACCAACAGACGACGCCTATTAATTTAGCAGAAACCCCGCTGTCTTGTATCAGGATCGTGTCTCATAATTGTCTCACAATTAACTTTCCTCTACCTGTAAATTTTCGGAATTTGCAGTAAGATCTTTTAGAACTTGTGAAATGGCTGATTGAAAGTCTACATTCGTGTCTTTCCCATCCGCCGCGTTACCGGCCGACGTCTGTCCAAGCTTCTGCAAAGCTGTCTCCAGTTCGCTATCTCCTAATAATAATAAATTACAGCAATGTACAATTTTTGTTTCGCCTCCTTCGCGTATCTTTCATTGTCTCACCGTTTTGCAATAGATTTTGCAAGTTTTTCTCAAACTGATCAGCCGTCTGTTTGAGAAAATCTTCCGTCCACTTCTCCTCGGACATTTCATGCTTATCTGGTTGCTTCTGCGAATCCTCTGTACCCGTGTCGTCATCTTTTTTGTCATTCGATATAGATACTTTGTCGAAATCTTGTAGAGCACCTAAAAATAAGATTAAAAAATTGGTATTTACAATAAGTGAAACTAGACTGACATGTCACAAACATTTTTTGTTAAATTATTTAAATAATTATAATCAGGGATAGGAAAATGACTGTTTAAAGGTAACTAGTTACCGTTACTGAAAAAATAACGAATTGTTCCCTTTTCCTTTACTTTTCAATTCTAGAACAAGATTGAACAAACCAAAACCATGAAAAATTAAGGTCCGGTTTCACCGACATCGTTTAATTTTAAACTTGGCTTAATTCGTTTTTTTTCTTTTTCCAACTGTTACTTTAGAAAGAGACAGATATGAATTAAACTAAGCTTAAAGTTAAGCGACGTTTGGTAAAACCAGGCCTTAAAAAGATAAATTTTAAAACGCTCAAAATGTGTAAATAAAAAATGTTTTCTGTGAAATGTACAAATATGGCTAAAGCTCTTAACTGTACTCTATTTTACATTCAAATTTTCACCGTAATAATTTTAATAATAATAATAGATTACGAACATTGATTGATGCCTGAAGATTGATCTTGAAAAATATGTAAAAAGTAACTATATTAAAGTTGTTACAGTTACAGAAAAAAAGTAACTTGTAACGACAACAGTGTTACAAGTAACGCGTTACTTCTATGCCCTGATTATAATAAATGATAATGTAATCAATTTTGCATGTTGAAGTAATATATTGCAAAGTTTTAAAGTGTTAACAGGTTACAAAATAAGTATAAAACATTATTACAACATACATTTCTCTAGCGTCAAAATTATTAAATTGATTTAAAATTAGAAAATAATTTGTTATATAACTTTTTCTCTTTTACATTGCCTTTGTAGAACCAAAATTACGACACAGAACTTTGTAAGGTTAGACCTATTTTGTAAGCGAGATATACGTACTGGCCAATAAATCGTTCAATTCTTCATCCTCTGTCTCACGTTTTACTTCTTTGACATTGTCCGTCATATTTGCGCGATCGCAATACTCTGTTAATTTATAAAAACAATATTGTCTTGCAAACTTGCAAGAAAGACGATGCTCTCATCTACGACGGCCGAGTCACCGATGTGGAACGCAACGTGATAAATTATATGCAGATCTGAAAATTTTAATTTAAGACTAAAAAAATTAAATATAAAAAAATGACAATCAAAAACGCTTAGTAATCGTTAGGATCCGAACACAGAGCAACGTAATAGTTTATTACGACAAAGACGCAAGCGTAAACGTAGATAGCGCGCAAGTTTTGGCGTATGTCGTACCCATGGAGAATGTATAAAGCCTCGTCTACATAGAAGTCGTAAAATCGTAGTCGTAAAGCCTCCGCTACAATGGCCGCGTTCAGCAGACACAACTGTTGAGTGAGCGCTCAGTATGATTGGTCGCGTTCAGCAGACACAACTGTTGAGTGAGCGCTCAATGATTTCTTAACATGATTGGCTGGATCTAAAAGTATTAGCCAATCATACCGAGCGCTCACTCAACAGTTGTGTCTGCTGAACGCGGCCATTAGCTAAGTCCCAGTCTACAATAGAGATCTTAAGAAATTGACTAATCACAGTCGTGTATTCTACTCGTACTTGACCGTGATTGGCCAATTTCTTAAAGCTTAGGGCTTAAATCATCTATTGTAGACTGGGACTAAAGCTCGCTACAGACGATGCTATTTTTCCTGCTGGATTGCTTGCGATTTAGTAAATTACTATCATTGCACCACTCAGCATTCAGGATTCCTAGTAATTTACTAAATTGCAAGCAATCCAGCAGGAAAAATAGCATCGTCTGCAGCGGGCTTAATACTTTTAGATCCAGCCAATCATGTTAAGTCCCAGTCTACAACAGAGATTTAGTCCCAGTCTACAATAGATGATTTAAGCCCTAAGCTTTAAGAAATTGGCCAATCACGGTCAAGTATGAGAAGAATGCGCGACTGTGATTAGTCAATTTCTTAAGGCTTAGGGCTTAAATCTCTATTGTAGACTGGGACTTAAACCCTAAGCTTTAAGAAATTGACTAATCACAGTCGTGTATTCTACTCATACTTGACCGTGATTGGTCAATTTCCTAAAGCTTAGGGCTTAAATCATCTATTGTAGACTGGGACAGACTGGGACTAAGAAATCAA